AAGGCAGCAATTGAAGATGAAAAGAAGAAGACGTTTGATTGGGATAGTTTGAGAAGAGATGTGTTATTGAAGTGTGAAAAGGGAGAAAGAAGTAAAGATGCAAAGGATTCACTTGATTATGAAGCGTTGAGACGTGCACATGTGAATCAGATTTCAGATGCTATTAGGGAACGTGGAATGAATAACTTGTTGGCTGATAGAATAAAGGTGATAATAAATTAATATTTTATTAATTTCACATATGAATTAAATAATAGATAGCATTACAATTGCTGTAACTTATTATTAATATTAAAATTAATATAATATAATAAACTACGCAGGATTTTCTTGACCGGCTGGTGAGAGACCATGGGAGTATTGATCTTGAATGGTTGCGGGATGTACCACCAGATAAGGCTAAGTAAGTGGTAGAGAGTAAATGACCATTTTACCCTTACATTCCAACAAACATATTTCACAATATTGAAAAGAAACAACCATTTTATAGCTGTCTGTCTGAACCAAGTGCTTAACCCAATTAAATCATTAAGTCAAAAAGAAACTCTAATTGCAAGAATCATGGCAGATGAGTTATAAAAGTATTCATAAATCTTTATATATTATGTGTTCTATTATCTATAATAATATAGTATTATATAAAAAATGCAGGGATTATTTGCTAAGTATTCGTGGATTGGGGCTGAAAAGTGTGGAGTGTGTTCGTCTATTAACACTTCACCATCTTGCCTTTCCGGTATGTTAACAGTAAAGCAATGAATATATATATATATATATATATATATATATATATATATATATATATATATAACTTGATGTATTGGAAGAGATTTAATTAAAAAATAAAAACAAATCTTTTTTTCAGGTTGACACAAATGTTGGAAGGATAGCAGTGAGACTGGGGTGGGTCCCACTCCAACCACTACCAGAATCTCTCCAGCTTCATCTCTTGGAGATGTAAGTAATACATATAAATAAATAAATAAATAAATAAATAAAGATATATTGTTTTTGTTAATAAAAAATAAACTTCTAAACTTACTTTTTCATACAGGTATCCGGTGTTGGAATCGATTCAGAAATATCTCTGGCCTAGACTTTGCAAGCTGGATCAGTTAACATTGTAACCAACCTTACCCTAAAATCACTCATATCAACAAAACAACATTTAAAACATTAGTTTTATGTATACATCATTTTATAAAAACTTTAAGCTAATTAACGTATGCTTAAATAACAGATACGAGCTACACTACCAAATGATCACATTCGGAAAGGTAACACCATTCTAACTTCAAGAAAAGAGATATGAAATTTTCGATGTCTTAATTAATTAAAAAAACACAGGTTTTTTGCACAAAGAGTAAACCAAACTGTAATGCATGCCCAATGAGAGCAGAGTGTCGTCACTTTGCAAGTGCTTTCGCAAGGTAAAGTATATGTATATATATACATATATTCAGATGCTCTGAACATGTTCAGATGAGAATCAGGACTTTAAGCAATGAGCATAGTGAAATTGTTTCAAATATTATAATAACACAAGTGATATCTTAATGATGCAGTGCAAGGCTTGCTCTACCAGGACCTGAAGAAAAGAAAATAGTACCTTCTGTACCAAATGCAACTGAATCAAATCCAATCCCCCCTTTATTCACAAGGCCCATGTCATTACCTCCATCTGAAAACAACTACACTTCAAATACACAATCTTTTGGGAGACAATGTGAACCAATCATTGAAGAGCCAACAACTCCAGAGCCAGAAACTGCAGAATTATCATTAAGTGATATTGAAGATCAATACTATGATGATGATGGAGATGGAGATGAAATCCCAACTATTAAACTTGACATGAATGAATTCACAATGAACTTACAGAAAATGCAAGAAAGTATGGACATTCAAGGTGATATGTCAAAAGCTTTAGTTGCTTTGAATCCACAGGCTGCTTCTATACCTACACCAAAGCTTAAAAATGTTAGCCGACTGAGAACTGAGCATCAAGTGTAAGCCTTCTATATTCCCATTAAAAGATTGTGAAATTTAATAAATAAATAAATTCAATTTTAAATTTTTAATTTACTCTATAACTATGATGCAGGTATGAGCTTCCAGACTCTCATCCAATTTTAAAAGGGGTTAGTATTACAACTTTTTTGTACACCTTTCATTATGTTACATAACCTAAAAAAAAATATTTCATTTTTTTTTCAGTTGGATAGAAGAGAACCGGATGATCCAAGCCCTTACCTCCTTGCAATATGGACGCCAGGTCAGCATGTTTTACTGATTATCATTTACAACCCACTATTTACATTATAATCTTGGTAAATTCCAAATTTACCCTTGTAATCTGATAACTTCCAGGTGAAACTGCAAATTCCATGCAACCTCCTGAAAGAGGGTGTCAGGCGCAAGAAACAGGTGTATTGTGTGATAGGACAACGTGTTTTTCATGCAACTGTATTAAAGAAGCAAATGCACAAAGGGTTAGAGGGACTATTTTGGTGAGAACTGAGAACATTTTTTTTACTTTCAAGAAACTGTAAATAACTAAATATTTAGTCAACTTATGGTTTACATATGTGGCTACTTTCAGATGCCATGTAGGACAGCAACACGAGGGAGTTTTCCACTCAATGGCACATACTTTCAAGTTAATGAGGTATGTTAGAGTTTTGAAATTTAGTTTTTAAACATGTAATAAGTCCAGATCATGAGATTAGTTGGTGCCATGTCATCGATTTATGTGCAGATGTTTGCTGATCATGCATCAAGTTTGAATCCAATTGATGTTCCAAGGGCATGGATTTGGAATTTGCCAAGGCGAACAGTGTATTTTGGGACTTCTGTATCAACAATCTTTAAAGGTATTAGTAATTGGGATATACTTTTTATTGCATCTCTATTAGGGTTTGATTGGTATATTGGAATTATGGAATGGAATCACAAAGGAATGGAATGAACAAAGTAATGGAATGAATCATTACATTCCATTATCATGTTTGGTTGACTTAAAACTTGAAAGAATAGAATAGATCATGCAAGGATGTTTGTAATTAAAAAAGTATTTAGAAAGTAAAAAGAAATTACATATCAACATATTCCATCTCATTTGAAATATAATATGTATATATTTCAAAAAGTTAAAAAAAAATGTATTCACCACTTTGAAAAAATTGTATACAAAACTAGAAAGTTAGTTACCATGAACTCTTAGAACAGAACTATAAAGGAAAACAAAAACACTTTTAGTTATTTTCTAAAAATAACAAAAAGTAATGCTTAGGTCTCCATACATTTTAATACAAGCAATTAATTAAACTAATTGGTTCTTGTAGGGCTGACTACTCAAGAAATTCAACAATGCTTTTGGAGAGGTATGTAGTACTTCAATTCTTAATGCTTTTCAAATAATATCAATTATTAGCTAATGATATGACATGGAACATTTGCAGGGTTTGTTTGTGTGAGAGGTTTTGATCAGAAAACACGGGCCCCGAGGCCTCTAATGGCAAGATTGCATTTTCCAGCAAGTAGACTAGTCAATAAAAAGAATGAAGACAAATAGGTTCTCAAGGGCAAAGAGGTCAATGACTAACAAACTGTTGTACATTCATCTATCCATCATTTAACATGACCCATGGCATCATGCATTTTTGCATGTAACTTAGACAGGAGAGAAAGAGAGAAAAAGTTGAGTGATAGTGGTATCATATCCACAAACCACCTGCAATTAGTTGATACAAGATTTCTAGTATCATAAAATTTTCGTTTTTCTTATGCTCCAAAACGAGCCATTTTTTATCAGTTAGAACATTACAGAAGAAAGAAGAAAGAGATTAGTTGAGCAGTAGAATATTATTTTTCTTTTTCTGATTAAGTTATGTATTTTCAAACACCTTTGAAATAATATGATGATCTATATCAGAAGCCATTGCTTCAAACATTAGTCACCATATACATGTTTTGGAAATGAAAGAAAAGCTTAATTCGACATATTTTTGGTTGAATTACAGAATAGATAGTTTTTCACTTTTTTGTTAGGTCATCAATTCATTAAACATGATATCATTCACTAAAAGACTTAAAGTTGTAGGACCATTAAAAAAGGGGGGAAGTACTTTCTACTATTATTATTCTTGCAACTCATGTGGTCCATGAATTTGACTTGCTTCCATAAAAAAATACAAAAAAACTATTTGGTTATAAAGAAAATAAAAAGGTCAAATCATGAAAACTGAAGTCCAAAAAGAATCATCCTGCTAAAATAGTTTTGTTTAAAATATGTCATTTTCCTAAATGATAGTTTTTTTTTTGTATGTTTACCAAAAAGAATGAACTTATAAAGAACAACTTTTCCCATTACGATCATCAGATCTGTGCAATATAAAATCTACTCATCACCTTTATGAGACAACTGCCACATGGATGTTGATTGTTTATTATTCATCCCACCACGTTTTGTTTTTCCCCATCTCCAGACTGTTCCATCACCCTCAATCGATCACCTTATGCTTGACAGCTTGAATGAATGTGGGCAAGATAAAAGAAATACACATCATTAGAAAGCCTAAATATATACACGCAAAACTAAAATTGTTCAAGGCTAAACAAAGAATGAAGAATACGATCCTGAAAACAGATATAAGGTCACTTTCCGAACTATTAAACACGGTGAATCACGAATATGATCAACAAAATAGCGATTGCGATCAATCAAATCGATTCGAATATAAACTATACAATAATTTATAATTACGTAATCACAGAATATGGAGAATTTACCTTATAAGCATTACAAAGAGGAACTAAATTCTGCAGAAAGATCCAAATCTGGACACGAGAGAAAAAGTTGGATTTAGTATGTATTTGGATTTGGATTTTGGGTTGCCGCCTTTTAGGTTTCCTCCCTGTTTCCGCGCAGGTTTATATGGTCTTTAGATATTTACATTAACACCCGTTGATTATGGTATAGTGACAAGTTTCCCTTAATGTTAATGTATTTTCAAAAAAGTTTAATTATATTTTAATAAAAATGGACACCACACCAATACAAGTTTTGATATAATGCAAGCATGTTAGTAACATTATTGTCTTTCTGTTTCAATTGAACTAATAGTCCTTTTAAAATTTGAGATTTATATTATAAATTTTAGTTAAAATTGAAGTGAACACGATGAAGAAAAAGTGAATATGAATGAGAAAATGATAGTCCTTTTAGATTTTGAGATTCATACTATAAATTTTAGTTAAAATTGAAGTGAAAATGATGTCATTTATGTATTGAGTATATTTTCAATAAGTGCCTAGTTTAAAAAATAAATAAATAAATAGACAATAGTATATCTATTTATTTTGTCATTTTATGGAAAATCAGTAGCGGTATTTGACGGAAATATACCAACATATTTATTTATTATTGTCTCTTCATTTGAGTTGAATCGCGATTGTCAACATCTATATCCTCCTACCTTACTCCAATGAAATTGTTGTTGTTGCTGGTTGTGGTGGTGGTGGTGGTGTATGTATTGTTGGCGAGAGCAAGATAACTACTAAATGTGATAACAGGAGCTATTTATTGGTTGTTGTATATCCATATTAGTGTGGTTGTATTATAATTTAGCTAGTAGTCTACTTCATGTATGTGTGTGTGTGTGTGTGTGTGTGTATATATATATATATATGCGTGTGTGTGTATGTGTGTGTTCTCTGATTGATATAAAACATATAAAAGAAAAACCCTACGAATTCATTCGTAAAACATGGCCTCTTAGCATTACATGGTATCAGAACAGTAAAAAGGGGAAAACTTTTTGAAATCGAATCTTTTTAACGAACTGTTGTAATTATGGGTGACAAAGGAGATCCATCTGGCACATCTCAAGTGATCGTACAAAACGTGCAAGATGCACCCTTCCCCACCGGAGTCATCTTAGATGACACAAATTATGGCCAAATGAATGTGTTTTTCAGGATATAACGACCCATCAGATTCTTGATTATGGTACTAGATGCGGGAGGTTGTACTATCTTGAAGAAGGTCAAGCCAACCTCGGTAGAGTAAAGCAAGCGAATAAGTCTGTGGCACGGTTGTGGCATCGCCGACTCGAACATCTCTCATTCGGTTATCTTAGGAAACTTAAACCGAATTTGTTTTTAAATGTATTGTAAAGTGAGTTTAGTGTGAAATATATGAGTTAGCAAAAAACAAACGGATTTCATACACTCAAAGTGATAATAAAACTAATTTTCATTCCTAAAGTTTTATTCAGATGTATGGGGACCAACAGGGGTCTCTACCCCTAATGGTGCACACTGCTTTGTAACATTTATAGACGAGTGTATTCGTATGATTTGGATATCTCTCCTTAAAACAAAAGGAGAGGTATATCATGCATTCAAGGAATTATATCAAGTCATAAAAATTGTATACAGAAAAGAAATACAAGTGTTGCAATCCGATAAAGGGGGAGAGTATACGAGTAATGAAATGAAACAATTTTGTCGGGATAATGCAGTTCAACACCAAACTTCATGCTCTAGAACCCCCCCCCCCTAACAAAATAGGCTAGCTGAAAGACGAAACATACAAATCCTTGAAATTGTCCGAGCCTCGTTATTTGACATGAATGTTCCACGAAAATATTAGGGTGAATTAGTTCGATCAACGGTCTATATCATGAACAGAAACACCATCAAGTATCATCGATTTTAAAACTTCATTGCAAAAGGTTCAAGAACTATCAAATCTACCAACAAGTAATGGCCTTGAACCAAGGATATTTGGATGTACTGCATATGTCCATCAAAACATGGGAAAATTTGAACCTCGAGCGGCTAAGTGTATCATCATAGGGAACGCGGATCAAAATAAAGGGTATAAGTGCTATAACCCAACCAAAAATAAGATATACACTACTTGAGGCGTAGTCTTTCATGAGATGCTACCATACTTTGAACGTGAGTGCTCGCTTCAGGAGGAAAAGGAAAGTGCAACAGACACACACGAGAATATAGACTCTGGTCTGTATTTTTACATATCGCATAACACACCTGGAGATAATGAAAACGATAACAGTGAAAGAGACAAAGACCATCATGATTGGGATCATCAAATGTTTGATGATCAGAAAGACGAGTATGGTAATGTGGAAGCAATAGATAGTACAACCACCGTTGACACCAATGATATCAAACCAGCCACTAGTATCGAAAACCAAAAGGTATCTATTATGTCTAACACTCCAGACACATCGTCGTTTGATGTTATTTTGCAGGAAATCAGTGATGAACTAGAACCAAGACTTCCAATCAGAAGCACCCATGGAATTCGAAAAAAAACAATATGCTGTAAATCTCAAAGCAAAGTCGAAATATCCCATTAACCATTACGTGTCAGCACATCGATTGGCAAATACTCATGCATTACTGGTGGAAAAACTGTCAACTGTGATTATACCAAATGAAGTTCAAGAAGCTGTAAAAAAGATTAAAAAATGGAGAGATGCGATGAATGAATAAATGGGAGCATTACAAAAGAATCAAACATGGGAAATGGTGAATTTCCCTCCTTGAAAGAAGATTGTAGGGTGCAGGTGGATACACAATGTGATGCTTGATGAAAATGGTAACTTAGATCGATATAAGGCAAGACTAGTGGCCAAGGGTTATACTAAAAAATATGGAATTGACTATGGAGATATATTTGCACCCACTGCTAAGATGAACACGATTCGAATCTTAGTATCCATTGCAGCAAATAAAGATTGACCTCTAAGGCAGTTCGATGTTAAGAATGCCTTCCTAAACGGATACTTAGACGAAGAAGTGTATATGGAACCCCCTCCAGGCATGGAATGTGGCGGAAAAGTGGGTAAATTGAATAAGGCGTTATATGGATTAAAACAGTCACCTAGAGCTTAGTTTGGTCGATTCTCAAATTTCATGAAGAAAGTTGGGTACAAAGAGAGCGATGCAGATCACACCTTGTTTGTAAAAAAAATGGAAAAATAACAACTCGTATTGTATACGTAGATGATATGGTGGTAACTGGAAATGATCCAAAAGAAATGAAGAATCTCCAAACTCTTCTTGCCACATAAATTGAGCTGAAAGACCTGGGAAGTTTAAAATACTTCTTGGGCATTGAGGTAGCTAGGTCAAAATTTGGAATCTCAATGTGTCAACGGAAATATGTACTTTATTTGTTAACTGAAACATTAATGATTGACTGCAAGCCAACAGAAACCCCAATAGAAATTAATCACAAATTTAATATACTCCCGAACCAAGTTCCAACAGATAAAGATAGGTATCAAAAGTTGGTTGGAAAACTCATATATTTGTCTCACACTAGGCCAGATATAGCCTATGTTGTGAGTGTGGTTAGTTGCTTCATGCAATCACCAAGTGAAGCTCACATGAATGCAGTATATCAAATACTTAGGTACCTCAAGGCATCTCCGGGTAAAGGGTTATTTTTTGGAAGAAACTCGAGCCATGAGGTGATGGGATATACAGACGCTAATTGGGGAGGAGATCGTATAGATGGTAAATCTACCTCAAGGTACTTTACATTTTTTGGTGGAAACCTAGTAATATGGAGAAGTAAGAAGCAAAAGGTGTTAGCACTTCATCAAAGATCATTTAGAGTCAACCGTGAAGTTACATTGTGACAATGAAGCTGCGGTAAAGATAACAAATAACCCAGTACAACATGACAGAACAAAACATATGGAAATTGACAGACACTTCATCAAAGATCATTTAGAAAAGAAGACAGTGGAGTTACCACACGTACACTCAAATGATCAACTTGCAGATATGTTAACGAAAGCAATGTGTAGGGGAGTGTTCGATTGCTCTCTGGACAAGCTGAGAATGATGTACATACATTATCCACCTTGAGGGGGAGTGTTAGCGAGAGAAAGATAACTACTAAACGTGATAACAGGAGCTATTTATTGGTTTTTGTATATCCCTATTA